ATGTGGCATCCCGTAAAGATAAGAAGACTTTGAGAAGACTATCTGGAAGCTTCTTCCTGAATGGTGATGTACTTTAAAAAATAAACTTTGATATGGTTTTGCTGAGGTGTGTAGATAAGCGTGAAGCTGATTTGCTGATGCAAGAAGTTCACGAGGAGTCCTTTGGTACCCATGCCAATGGGCATGCGATGGCTAAGAAAATATCAAGAGCAAGTTACTATTGGCTGGAGATGGAGTCCGACTGTTATAAATATGTGAAGAAGTGTCATAAGTTCCAGATCTTTGCAGATAAAATTCATGTGCCTCTGACTCTTCTCAATTGTCTGTATTCTCCGTGGCTTTCTCTATGCGGGGAATTGATATGATCAGTATGATTGAACCCAAGGCCTCGAACGGACATCATTTCATCCAGGTGGCCGTTGATTATTTCACCAAGTGGGTCGAACCAATTTCATACGCAAATGTGACTCACCAAGTAGTGGTCAAGTTTATCAAGAACCAACTCATCTGCCGATATGGTGTGCCAAGCAAGATTATCATTAATAATGGGTCAAATTTAAACAATACGATGATGAAAGAACTATGCGATGATTCATGATAGAACATCACAACTCCTCTCCCTAAAGACCAAATATGAATGATGTTGTTGAGGCTGCTAATAAAAACATCAAGAAAATTATTCAGAAGATAGTTGTAACTCATAAGGATTAGCACGAGATGCTACCTTTTGCTCTCATGGTTATCGCATATATGTCAGTACTTCGACATGGACAACTCCATTATCTCTGGTATATGGAATAGAAGTAGTACTCCCCATAGAGGTTGAGATCCTGTAAATGAGAGTTCTGATAGAAGACGAGTTAATCGAGGTTGAATGGTGTTAAAGTATATATGACCAGTTGAATTTAATCGAAGAAAAAAGGATGACGACCTTATGTCATGGCCAGTTATATCAAAAGAGAAAGAAGTGGGCATTCGATAAAAAGGTTCGGCTTCACAAGTTCAGAGAGGGTGACCTTGTACTTAAGAGGATCTTGTCTTTTCAACCTGATTCTAGGGGCAAGTGGGCTCCTAATTTTGAAGGCATGTATGTGGTTAAAACACCTTTTTGCGGCGGTGCAATGACTCTTATGACTATGGATGGTGAGGAGCTCCCATGCCTCGTGAATGTCGATGTAGTCAATAAATTCTTTGTCTAACGAAAATAAAAGAATAACTCGTTAAGTTGAAAACTTGAAAGAGCGACTTAGGCAAAGATGAGCGTCTCGGTGGACTGAAAATCCAAAAGGACGGTCCAAGAAAAAAATTGAGACATAAACAGAAGAATAATCCATCCTGATAGATTAAAAACCCGAAAAGACAATCTAGGAAAAAGTTTGGAGATAAAGAATGCAAATGAGTAGTAAGATCCAGATAGTCAATTGACAATCTATTTTGTGCTTGATCTTATTGAAGATCAAAAGAAAAGAAGGGGCTGAATCAATAAAAAAACGGTTAGGATTTATAGGATTTCTCTTGAACACTTCTCTTGTAATTATACTTTTTGCAAAGTAAGAAAGTATCATAATTCCACATTGGAATTGGGCACAGACGTACCCACACGCGAGGATGAAAGTGAGGAACTATGTAAACAAATTTGTGTGTCGCTCTCTATTATCTCTTTACTTGCTTTTGTTTTTCATTATGTAATTTGTCGAATAACATTGTTTAATCGATTGACTCGTAAGAATTTTTATGTAATTGTTTTGTTTAAAGTGGCGTGTTGATTAACTTATAATCACTTTGATTATAAGTGGTTTACATATCAACACAACTCAAAGAAAATTTTTTAAAAATCGAATGCACACCAAGTGTTTGACAAATTGTAATGTTCTATCTCTTACTCTCATTGAGACTCTATATGCAATTTATTCAATGTGTTGTTTGATCGATCAATTCGTATATAATTTCTCTTTGATTGTTAAAGTTTAGATTGCTTTATTGATTATCTTATAATCACTTTGATTGTAAATGTTTTTTCTTATCAACAACGCTCAAAGAAAATTCTGAAAAATTGATTGCGCGCCACATGTTCGATAAATTGTCAAGTTATATTTTTAATATGATTTCATTGGAAATAAGAAACCGTTGTGTTTGATATTAAACTATTGATTGAGATATTATTATGTTGATTGATTTTATCATTATCTAATTCCATATGACTTGTGCATATCAGAGTTTCCAATAACTAGGTTCGTTTAGATTACTATTTTGATCTAGGCCAAAAATCTTCCGATCAACATTATTTTTCAAATAAGTTTTTAAATAACAATTTTTAAAAGGTCATTTTTAATTTGGGGATCTATTCTCCCCCTTCTAGATAATTCGTCGTAGTCTAACAATAATTGCTTCAAACTTCCCCACAAACTTTTGATAATATCTGCCAACGTGTTGTCGACATCGTCTTCATTTGAAAACTTGAACTTGGGAAATTGTTAAGTCTTTAACCTCTTTGTGGCTCCGTCGACTAATATTCATGTCGATACACAAGTCCTATCGACGACTCTTCTCAAGATTTTGGACATATTTTCAGATGATCCTAATCGTGTGGATTTGTTCTTGTGGTTCTTTCAAACCATAGCTATCACACCAGTTGACTCCTTGGTCGACTATCGACGTTGGATCATTAATGTTCTTAAACACTTGATATTAATGCCTTTAGCACTAAATATTCCTTCATTATGACATTCTTCGTTGACTTCTCATTAGCTAAAAATCCCGGTGTAACACCTACATAATGCATTGATGATCAGAAAAGATAGCCGAACATTTCAAAGACTGGCATAGTTTGAAAATGGAAATAAGATTAAGACAAAAATCTAATGCATATAATACATGAGTGAGATAAAGGATAGGCGAAAAATTATGTTACCAGCATATTGTACTATAACACAATTATCATTGGCAGAACTGGGTTAATGAGAACTCACTTTTATTGGATTGATATTATAATGAGAGCTAAACTGGGTTAATGAGGAACATGCATGGTCTTTAGCTCCTGAATTCAGGATCCATGATAAAGATTGAAAATTGGGATTGGAAGTTGTGTTGCACATGACACCTGATGAAGATTCAAAAAGTGTATGACTTTTGTAATATGATTGGTAGTGGAAACTTGATTTGAGGCATTCAAACTTGAGTGTTGGAGTAATTTAGGACGCCAATCATATCAAGGCTTGAGATAATTATAATTGTTGCTTGCAGAAGAAGTAACATGAGTTTAATCCAATTGTCGAGGTGATGTGTGTGCATCAACATGACTTGCATTCATATAATATTGGGGTTTGGATGGCCGTGCTTTTGATAACTGGAATCAATGGTATGACAATTTCTCTGACAAAATGTACACATACGAGGAGGATTCTTGTAATTGTTGAAATTACCTTTGTTCTTAAATGTTGGCCCTCGTACAACATTGATTAAGATGGAACTATCATCAGGTGGCATTAAGTTCTTGGGATTACTCTCTTCTTGTATCACAAGTGAGTAGATACGATTGATGGAAGACAAGAGATCTATGAGCAAAACTTAAGTTTTAACAAACAGAAAAATGATCATCTAAACCATTCTTTCATGTAAATCATTCCACACATCTAGTGCAGTCACATGGAAAACAATAGTGGAAACAATTTGATCAGAAACATAATTGACAATCGATGAATGTATGAGATGGTTGCATCTTTCCCATTGAGCAAAGTTAAGATCATCAACTATAGGAATTTGGATGGTTGCATCAACAAATTTGAGTTTGTTCTTAGCTCCCAATGCACATTTCATGGATTTTCTCCAAGCAAGATAATTAGCGTCATCAAGTTTTAGAGTAACATTGATCGTGTCGGGGCCTTCACTTGCATGAACGTAATAAACCGAATTTGAATCAATTTGTTGTTGTTGTGGTGGTGCTACACGCGGAGGCATTTTGGATCAATGAGGAAAAAGCAAGAACCAAAGATAGAATCAAAGATGAAGAAGAAGAATATGCAAATCAAGGTGAAGATCAAAACGAAGAAGATAATTCTGCAACTCAATGTGAAGAACTAAAGAAGATGAAGATGATGATGAAAGAAGGAAAGAATGAGAATCTACGAGAGTTCAATGATTTTCTGATACCATATTGAAAGATCAAGATGAACATGATAGAGCAATTGATTCTCATTGATGAATATCAAATACACTGTGCTATTTATACTTGTGTGGTAACTTCCATCATGAGCTATAGTGTTCTAGCTACAGTATATTGTTGCTTAAGTTCTAAGTAACTATCTTAATGTAACTACTTTGTAATTACTTCTAACTGAAAACAGAAGTTAGTTAAGGTGTTAATCTATTTATTGTGTCAACTTATTTTTCATTTGCTTTACTATTATCTACTTATTCCACATGCTCCTAATCTTACTTTTTCATGTTTCAATAAGTGACACTATTTTATTGAAAAGTTTATCAGTTGAACTCAGATGGAGAATACATTTTGATGTTAAAAGACATTGAAATGATGTAGACAAATATTCACGAAGATTATCACTTTACAATATTTTAATTTGGATATCAAACTATGTTTATTTCTGAACATAAACTCTCATGCTTTAAGAGTGGGAAACATAACAAGGAAAATAATATAAAATGGAAAAATGACCTTGAAAAGTAACACCTTTTCCTTATTTAAATTGCAACATGAGAAAAGTAAACTATATAGTGCTTTTTGAGTTACTATCCTCAAAAGGTTATCAAGAAATAATTGGCATGAAAGTATCCATTCAACTAAATGCTTCCAATCTTCATACTTTGAGTGAAAATCCTCCATATGTGATGCTGCATAAACTCTTCAATAAAACAATCCTATTTGATCCAACAGTTATATCGCAATCAGGAGTCCACTATAGTGTATATAAAATCAAGTGTATACTTTACATATAATATTTTGTATTTCTAACCTTGTCTGATTCCATATGTGGAGGCAGTTCCTAGGATTTTCTGAATGAAGGTGATGGTGATGCAGGAGGCTTCAAGTCCTCATACCTGAAAAGTTCATTTGCATAATATCATAATCTTACTATAGTCACTACGATCAAATAGTGACTGCAGGTAGATCTCAATGAAAAATCCGAGTCCCTTCTTTCTTTCTTCTATATTAAGGAATCGAGAATCTTTTGGAGAATAAATAAGAAAAATCGAAGGCGAGACGGAATCAGAATCAACTTACATTGCATAAGGTGAAAGTGGTCTTGACTTTGGTTCATGAAGGGGCTGTCCATCATCCTTTGGTGTATCTTCCACAGAAAGTTGAGCTGCTCCATTGCTTGATACTACTGTATCTATCTTGGATATTGATGTAGTTGGTACACTCGGAGATGGTGAACTCGGAGGCTTTAAATCAGGATATCTATAATAAACACAAGAAAAAGTTCAAATCTAAAATGGGATGGTTGTACTAATATACATGATATCACCATAAACCTAGAGGGCGGCTTACGCTGCGTAAGGAGATAGAGACTCCTTCGCTTTTGAGGAAGATGTTGTCTGAGAAATGCCATCTATTTCTTGAATGCTACCTGGAGTATCCGAAGAAATAGGTGTTGGAACTGCATCACTGATGTTTATCTGTTTCTTCTCACTAGGCTTAGTTGGAGAAGGAGATGATGGTGGCTTTAAATCATCATAACTGAAAATGTATATACCAAATCAGTTATTTTGCATCTGGTCCGCATTAAAATATTTACTGTCAACAAAAATTAGCAACTTGGCTTACGCAGTATAAGGAGAAAGTGGCTGTTCCGTTTTCGCCACTGGTTTTGGTTGTTCTGTTTCTATTTCAGGGGCAATACTGAGTACTTCTGCTACAACATTATCAGGGGGACCTGGATTACTGACAGTTGCCGTATCTGGTTTCTGTATCGTCCAAATAAAACAACTAATCAATTGACAAGCCTGGTTTGTACTAATATACATCGTAAAATGTATTATATAAGGCGGTACTTACCTTAGGCGGAGAAACGTAAGGGCGTTGAGAAGGTATCGTGGTAAGAAGTTTTTCGGCAGGTGTCAATGGCGCAGTTGTCTCGGCAATGACCTCTACTATTTTACAATAAGAAAGATCGGGATTCTTGGCCATGGTTGCCATGAGTTCAGCAACCTGCATTGAGAGAGTTATCAACTTTCATATAACTATATATCTTAACTAGATAGTTACACATACATGATACATGAATAATACATTTTACATGTACCTGAAGGTTTGAAACTTGACCCCCAAATAAAGTATCTTCAGTTGATAGAGTTACATTATGTGTTTCCTTGTATGCATCAGTAGGCCTCTCCATGCCACCAGGTCTCACTATCTGAAAACAGTGACATAACATAACAATGACATGATATTAAGATAATTAGGACCTTGCGATGCGCTGCGCTTCGGAGTAATTACAATGACTTACTGTATACGGAATTCCACTTGCTAGCAATGCTTCTTCAGCCTTCCTTTTCCAAATCAAAACTCCCCAAAATAAACTATAGAAATAGAACTAATCAATCAGTTCAACTTCTTTACGACGCGAAAATGAAAATATAACTAAACTACTGCTTGAGAAAGGTTTCAGAATTCAGACTTACTTGAGAATAGCTGCAGGAAAACCAAATTTGTTTGTTCCCAATGAAGTAACCAATATGAAGTGATTTACTTTGGCAACGGTTGCTGCACCATGACAGAATAAACAAACAAAAAATTGTTTTCAACCTTTATGCCTAAAACAAAATATATAGCATTGAAACAAAACCATAAGGAAGGAAAGCTCTTGTTACCAGCATCAACTAGGTTTTTGGTGGCTTTGTAATCGATTCGACAAGGTCCAGTAATGTCGAAAATTTCCTTCTCACTAGCACCAATGGTACATATCACAGTGGATGCATTCCCTAATGCTGATCCAATTTGATTTGGCTTCTCCAAATCACATTCCACAATTTCAAGCTTCTCTACAGCTGGGCTAAAAACCAAAAACATTCTGTTATCCAACACAGCAGCATTTTTGTTACTGTCTAAAACTTTCTTGGCTTACCTTCACCCCCTCCACTTGCACCATCAAGCTTCAATTGCTTAACACTCTGCATATCATATATTCAATTATCCATCTTAAGAAGCTAATTATTACTACTAGTAGTACTAACCAAAGGGTAACCTTTCTATACCTGAACCAATGCACCAGCTTTCTGAGCATTCCTCACTCCAGCTCTAACTTTAAAACCAAGCTTTATAAGCTCCCTGAATAAAACTATCACTGCTCAGCATTTTGTAAACAAAAGTTTCTATCTCAAAAGGTGAAAATGTACCTGACTGTTCTTGAACCAACTTTTCCAGTAGCACCAGCAACAAAAACTAGATTATCATCCTTGGAATCTGTTTTCTCAGGAATCCCCTCAGCAGTACTAGATTTTGTTGAACCTTGAATGAAGATACATACATATTAAACATTCATATATGTCAAAAACACACACACACACACACAAGCATGAGAATTGGAGCATGTTTATCACCTGAAGCTTGAGCTCTTATACTACTGCAACTGCGGATTCTGTTGCTGGTGAGTGTTGTGATAAGAGGGTACCTCATGAAATGTGAGTGTTTGGAAAGGTGGAGATGACAGGAAGGTTTATCTGGTGCAGCATGTGTATGTGTGAGAGTAGAGGGAATGGTAGTTGAAGTGAGAGAGAAAACATCCATTGACATGGCTTTGAACATTGAAGGATGAATGGATGATTTGGTGGGAATGAGAATGATGAATAGTTTTGAAACTGATATATTGTGTTCGATATTATGTTATTATTATCCATTAGAATCTTCTCTCATTGGCAGAGGTGCCATCCTTTGTTATGTGTGGATATCATATCATGCACCTACCCCACGTCCACTTACCAGTGATCATTCCTCAACACTTGTGGGTTAAATAAGATTGGTCAGCATTCAAGGGTGTTCAACAAAGATTACTCAATTTTATGTAGTCTGGTATTATATATATAGAAATAACATTAACAAAAACATAAAAAATATAAAATATATAGACTATTATTAACAAATATATTATTAGCAAAGATGGACATGAAATGAAAATAAAAAATACATTAACGACAACAAATAATTTATTAGCAAAAATGTACCCTATTAATGCATGCATTTTTTATTTTAATTTCATATCCATCTTAGTAATATATTTGTTAACAATAGTCCATCGACTTGATGTTTTTTATGTTTTAGTTAATGTTACTTCTATATATATAATACCAGACTACATAAAATTGAGTAAGTTGAGAATATGTGTTAATTGAACATAATTTGTAATGCTAGGTGTACCAAATGGAAAGATACCGAATATGTCTATGTCAGTGCAGTTCATATTTGTACGGTGCATGCTACTTCTATGTTATGTGGCTACTGTTAGTACAGTTGAGAATATATTCTTGATCTAACATAATTCAAAGTATCAAACATACTTTATTATGATCATTTTATTATGAAGTTTTATCAAAGTTTGCTATGCTCATCATTCAACTTATCTCTGTTAGAACAAGAAGTCAGATTTTTTTCAGCAGTATAAATTCAGAGTTACAGTATAGCTGATATAGTTTTTTGCAATTAAAATCAAAGTTTATTGCAATTTTTTCCAAAGTTTCAGGAGTATAATTCAAAGAAAATGCTATACTGTTTTGTAATACTAAACTGAAAATTGAACAACAGTTCACTGTTCAAGAAGTATAATTCAAACAAAATGCTATAGCATATATTCTATTGTAGTCTCTGTACGGTCGAATAAGAAAATAGGATCATAACTTCAAAATCTTTTTCAGAAAATCTTTGTCCTGAACTAACAGTAAGAAATAAGTAGGAAGTCAGAATTTTGAAATGCAATGTTAGAAACTCGAATCAGACTTCTGTATAAAATTTCTGTATATTGCACTTTTTAAATAAATTACACACTTGGTCTTTTATAGACCCAAACAACTTTTACAATTCTAAACATAAACTAAAACATAACTGCTACTAATAATTATCATAACTTATTAAATTCTTGTCCTTCCTACTACCATATTTAATGTAAAACTTATTACTAACACATTTAATGTTTATTCAACAAAACTCCTCTGTAAACTTAAATGCTTCTTCCATCCAGCATTCCTATCATCTTCTTGCCTCTGTCGAAGACCTCTTTCGATAGTGGTTTTGTAAACATATCCGCTGTTTGGTTTCTGCTTGCTACATGCCTCAATTCGACGCTTTCCTCCTTCACATGTTCACGAATGAAGTGAAATCGAACGTCTATATGTTTGCTTCGTTCATGATTCACTAGATTCTTTGCCAATTCGATGACTGATTTATTGTCCACTTGTATTATTGTTGGATCTTCCTGTTTCAGCTCCATCTTGCTTATCAACCTTCTGAGCCATACTGCATGACAGACGCACCAGGATGCTGTCACATATTCTGCTTCACACGTCGAAAGTGTCACTATAGGCTGCTTCTTCGATAGTCAAGTAAAAGCTGTGTTTCCCATGAAAAACACATATCCAGAGGTGCTCTTTCGATCGTCTATGTCTCCACACCAGTCACTGTCAGAATAACCAACTAACTTGTAGTCTTCTGTCTTTGAATAAAACATTCCAAGTGATACTGTTCCTTGGATGTATCTTAGAATTCGTTTCAGCGCCTTCCAATGTGTGTGTACTGGTTCCTCCATGAATCGACTCACTATGCCAACACTTAGTGAAATGTCTGGCCTTGTGCATGTGAGATATCGAAGGCTACCTACCAAGCTTCGATATTTGCTTCCTTCGACCCGTTCTCCTCCATCAAACTTTGACAGTTTTGTACCTGGTTCCATTGGCGTCGAAGTTGGATTGCAATTCTTCATTTTATATTTTTCTAAGATTTCCTTTGCATACTTTTCTTGTGAGATGAAAATTCCAGCTTCTTCTTGTCGAACCTCCAGACCAAGAAAGAATCTCATCAGACCCAAGTCTGTCATTTCGAATTCGCTTGTCATGGTGCTTTTGAAGTCTTCGATCATCTGAACATTACTGCCTAGAAAGATAAGATCATCAACATAAAGAGCAACAAGTAATAAATCACTTCCATTTTTCTTCACATAGAGGGCTGGTTCATAAGGACATTGCTCGAATCCATTCTCCTTGAAATATGTGTCAATACGTGTGTTCCATGCCCTAGGTGCTTGCTTCAGCCCATACAATGATTTCTTCAGTTTCAACACCTTCTTCTCTTCTCCAGTTCTCATATATCCAAGTGGTTGTTCGACATAGATTTCTTCTTCGAGCACACCATTTAAAAATGCTGTCTTGACATCCATTTGAAATATTGGCCATTTGAACTGAGCAGCTTGAGAAATGAGTAATCGAATTGTCTCCATTCTTGCAACAGGCGCAAACACTTCGTCATAGTCAATTCCTGCTTTCTGTTTGTATCCCTTCGCAACCAGCCGTGCTTTGAATCTTTCGATTTCTCCTTGAGCATTCATCTTTTTCTTGAATACCCACTTTACACCAATGGGTTGACTTCCTTTTGGTAATTCGACTAGCTCCCAAGTATTGTTGCGTTCGATTGCTCTAATTTCTTCGTCCATGGCACTTTTCCACTTCTTATCTCTTAACGCTTCTTCGACACTGATATTTTCAGCATCTGGCAGAAGACACACAAGATGCACTTCACTTGTTGAATCATACAAATCTTGAAAACTTCTCATTTTGGGTTGTAGAGGTTCATCTCCATCTTCTGTTTCTTCATCTTCTTCTGGAATACTTGTTGGTATAGCTACAGTTGTTTCTTCGAATGTGTCAACAACCTCTGTCGAAATGTTCCAGTCCCACTTGCTTGCTTCGTTCATTCGAACGTCTCTGCTCACGATCACTTTCTTGCTTATGGGATTGAAGAGCTTGTACCCTTTCGTCTTCTCATCATATCCAATGAATATGTACTTCTGACTTTTGTTTTCAAGCTTTGTTCTTCGTTGATCTGGTACATGTGCATAAGCTATACTACCAAATACCTTGAGATGAGAAATTGTTGGCTTCTGTCCACTCCATGCTTCTTATGGTGTTTTGTCTTCTAACTTCGAATGTGGACATCTATTCTGAATATAAACAACACATTGTACTGCTTCTGCCCAGAATTCTTTCGACATGTTCTTGCTTTTGAGCATTGATCGAACCATGTCAAAAATAGTTCGATTCTTCCTTTCAGCCACACCATTTTGCTGAGGTGAATATGGTGCAGTTAGGAATCTCCTTATGCCCTGTTCTTCACAGTACTTCACAAAGGCCATCGAAGTATACTCTCTTCCTCTATCAGATCAAATTGCTTTGATGTGTCTGTCTGTTGCCTTCTCTACCATTACTTTGAACTTTTTGAACACTTCTAATGCTTCATACTTTTCTTTCAGGAAGTAGACCCAGGTTTTTCTTGAGAAGTCATCAATGAAGGAAATGAAGTACCTTTTTCCACTAAAGGATTCTGGAGTGATTGGCCCACATATGTCAGTATGTATCAATTCGAGTATATGTTTAGCTTGATACTCTGCCTTCTTTTGAAATGAGGTTCTTATTTGTTTGCTGAGCACACATTCTTCACAGAATTTTCCTTCGAAATCCATGTCTGGTCGTCCATGCACCATGTTCCTTTTTACCAACCTTCTCAAACCAGCATGATGTAGATGACCAAAGCGCATGTGCCATAGTGACGCTTTGTCTTGCACTTCGATTTGCAGACATTTCTCTTGAATGTTCCTCAGGTTCAGTTTGTACATTCGATTTCTTTCCATTTCGACAGCGGCAATCAGATATCCTGCTTTGTCCTTCAACTGCAGTGTTCGATCTTTCATAAGTATCGAAACACCTTTTTCTATAAGTTGTCCCAGACTTAATATGTTGGTCTTGAGATCTGGTACATAGTAAACATCTTCGATTGGTCCAATCAAGCCATCCTTCTACAAGTAACTGATTGTGCCCTTTCCTTCGACCTTCACTTTCGATGCATCTCCAAAAGACACACTACCATCTTCAATTCCCTTCATATATTTAAACAGGTGTTTGTAACCACACATGTGATTACTTGCTCCTGAGTCAAGATACCAAACACTGTCATTGGTGTTGATTTCGTTTTGAGCCATTAGGAGAAAGCCTTCATTCGATTCAGCTTCCAAGGCTAGGTTGGTTGTTTCTTCAATCTTTTCGATTCGACAGTCTTTTGCAAGATGTCCCACTTTGTCACAGTTGTAACATTTGTAGGAGTTACAATCCTTCGCGTAATGACCATAATTTCCACACTTGTAGCATTCGAAGTTGGAATAATTCGAACGACCACCTCTTTGACCACGTCCTCTGCCACGCCAATTTTGTTGGCTCGAATGTCCTCTTTCGAAGTTGCTACCTCTACCACTTCGACCACTGTCACGACCTCCACGTCCACGTCCTCTTCCTCGAAAGTTGTTTGAAAATAGTACCTTTTCGTCTTTGTTCGATTCCTTGGTTTAGTTTGCTTCTTCGTCTGCTTCTTCTTTCTTTTTCATCTTTCGTTGTTCATGTGCTTCGAGCGAACCAGTGAGCTCTTCGATTGAGAGCGTCGAAAGGTTCTTCGACTCTTCTATTGCACATACAATATTTTCAAACTTGTCTGTTAAAGATCTCAAGATCTTTTCAACAACTCTTGCATCAGGTACTGTCTCT